AGTAATATCATCCAGAAGCTCATGAGACCTGCAGAGCCCCAGGTCCCAGCCTAAACTCCAAGGGTAGAATCTAACCCTTGCATGATATCTCTGGGTAATGCAGGTCCTCATTAGGATCGGAGAAGCTCTGTGCTAAAGGACCTTCAGGCTCAGTGTTCTAAGGCTTGACTCTACCAGCAGAGGCTACTGTTGGCAGGGAAACGGGTGGTTTGGATGTTTCCATCCTCTACAAATTTCACATTGAAACTTAATCCCTGGAAAAATCCACCTACTTCTAAAGTGACAGCATTCAGAGCTGTCAGAAAAGGTGAGGAAATCAAAGGTGAGGAAGCAGGGAAGCAGGTGAGGCAGGAAACCGAAAGAAAAAGAGAAAGTCAACAAGGAGGAAAGAAGGGCATAAAGTTAGGAGAAAGCGGCACTTGCAGAGTGAGTGGGAAGCAGGATGGGGATCAGCGATGCCAGGCAGAGGATGTCTTGGCCTGGGGAAAGGGTGAGGGAAGGTGATTCTGATGATCCTCTAACACCCCGCTGTGCTACCTGCGCATTATGCAAGCCGGTTCGATTATTAATGAGAAAAATGACAATGGCCCAGTCCCTCCATAAATGCCCCCTTTCCTTGGATGTGCCCAGTTATAAATTAACCATTTTCATTATTAATTTTTCCTGGCTGACTCATCCTGCAGGAACTCGGCAGCAGCCCAGGACTGGGAGGGTTCGACTTCTGTGGTCGTCTGCCCTCCAGCACTCTGCCATAGGTTAACCCTTCAGATGCAATTGCAGTGGCTGGGGTAGGGATCCACAGTGTCTGTTCAGGAGATACAGTGGGATGGAGCTGGTTCTCAAAGCTTGGAAGGTTACAGCCCGTCTTCAGACAGTAGGGGTGGGTGCAAGACCAAGATAAGAATCCCATCTATTTCTTCCTCCTGGTTTCTCATACTTCCAGGTAAGCAGGTAAAGAAATGCCCCACATTAAATCTTCCTGAAATGTACTTGAATAGGCCTTGTAAATGTTCTGCTTATTCGTTTTTGAACCTAGTTGTTTAATATTCTGCTCAGCTTCCAAACCCTGACGATCCAGCATCATTGGGATAAAGAGAAAATTCGTTCTCCTCATTTCCTCCCCTTGCTGCTTATAGCCATGGACTTGGACAGAATTCTTTTGATTCACCATTTACTCCCATGTCTAATGGGGAAAGAGGATACTCACCAATAACCTTATGTGAAGAGAAGGAGGAATTTGGGTTTTAACTAAATTAAAAGTAAAAAAAAAAAATTGTTACCAAACTGAATTTTAAAATTGACTGGGGTTATTAACATCTCCTAAGGGAAATTTTGTTTAAAATATTGGAAATTATTTCACCATAAGGAAATCCAGGGACATCTTGTGTCTTCATGCAAGATTCTGAGAATATAGGACTTGTTTGATTAAAATATAAACATGGAAGAATACAAATAACTTGGAGAAAACTTCAAAAAGCATGATTGCTTTTATTTGCAAACTGAATAATCCAGAAAAGCTCAAGATCTGAAGCATCTGCCACACTGTTTCCTGGGTCATGTGGGGTCTGAAAATGGGCTGTAAAGCTTAAGTCCCAGACTTTCATCCTTCACATTTGGAATATTTGAGGTAAGGAAAAAACCTACGTCTGATTCCAGGTGCAATGACAAAACACACAGAGAATGGAGAATAATGAAATGTCCCCTCCAGATCTGACCCCACCCTACCTGGGGGTCCCACTTTCTCCTTGGGAACCACCTTGTCCCATCCCCAGTGACCTCCTATGCCTTACTCTTTCCTGCCTTGAAGCACTTACATCTTTTTCTACTTGGTAATCTTTTTTGTCCTTCAAAACCATCATAAAAACTCCTTTCCTTAAATGATGTTGGTCCTTCTACTTAGGCTATATGAACATGATTTCCCCGGAGTTGGGGACCCCTCAGGCTGTGTTCTGTAGCTTTGAGGAGAAGCCAGGGGACCCTGCAGTCTTCTGTTAGCTCAAGCTCCTTTCAAAAGGAAACCTGCCTCCTTCTATTTTCTTCAGGATCAGAATATCACCCAGCACTTGGTCTGGTGTTTATTAATAATTATGAAATTGATGACTGTATGAGTTTATTTCAAATGCGTTCTATATCTTCACATCAAGTTGGCTTTGCTCTTGTTTGTTTGTCTCCTTCGGTTTTGTGCGTCCATGGTGTCTACCCAGATATCAATCACAGATACAACCAGGAAGGGTTGGGGGAAGCTCCAATCTCACCCCTCCCCAACATTTTTAATGCAAACGCCATTGTTCCATTACATTCAACAGCGATGGGAAAGGATGTATCAGCTGCATATTTCAAGATAATATAAATGAAGTGATTCAGGAAGTGCGGGCACAAAGGAGGTTCAGCTCCTAACCTCTTGGCCATCCGCACGTTTCGGCTCCAAAAGCTAAACACAAGTCCCAGTCCTTGGGCCATAAATTGCGAGCTGTCCCCTTGAAAGCTGCAATTCCAGCGGTGTTCTGTGCGCGTTGCCTAGTGTGAGATCCCAGACAGATCACATTTTCACACTTACCCATCTGCCACCACCTGCCTCCCAAAGAGCCACTCTGTCACACTCTTTAAATGTCCCGGCTGCCATGGGAATGTATTTTAAAAGGGAAGCAGGAACAAAAGATGAATGAGCCCCCTTCCGCAGCCGCTCTGGATGGGTCAGAGGCACAGACGAGGCAGTGAGCTTTGGTCTCCCGCGTCCCACTCCCTGCCCTGGGGCAATTTGGAAAGAACCTTTTGCTCTCAGCCGGGTCTGGTGGAAGAGATTCACGTGCTCAGAAAGGACCCTGAGTGACTGGGGAGCCGTGCATGACTGCCACTGTTCTGTCTGCATTTGATTTCAGTCATTAACAGGTGGGCACTGCCATGGGTGACCCTGTACCCCTTTGTCCTCTGCCACAGGCAGTGTCCTGAGAGGTTTGAGGAGAGAGTGTGGGTTCTCAAGGAAGAGAAAGGGGAAAGCATGACTCTCAGAGGAGACAGGCAGGGACGTGCGAGGCATGAAAAGCCTGGCCATTCTGGATAGCTGACTCTACCCTGGACGGGGCTGCTCTGGGTCTGATCCTTGTGTCAGCCCATGGGGCAGACTCACTTGAACTCATGCTGAAATCAGCTTTGATTCTAAGTCAGACTCCGCAGCCTGGTTCGCTGTGAGTGCTGCCGTTTCCTTTTCCTGCTCTGTCCCCCCTTTCCTTTCTCAGTCCTCTGAATACCGAAGCAGGGAACCGAACCGCCAGCGCTTGTGTAACAGCCACGTGTACCTCCTCACCTCCCCAGGCTTCTGAAGAGTGTCTCCGTGGATGTGGGTGTGGGCTACCGGAAAGAACACAAACTTCAGGCTCAGAGGTGAGTCCCAGCCCCTACTGGGTCTCCTCAGAGAAGATGTGTGACCTGAGGCAAGTCTACTGTCTCTCGGAATTGCATTTTGTTTGTTAGAGAGCCGAAAAAAAAAAAGAAAAACATGCTAGCTATAGTTTTCACAGCTATTTGATGAAATGTCCTGGGAATGATATGGCTAATATGCACCACTTCCGTGCTATCACCACACCCCTCCCTGGGTGGCTTAGAGCTGACAGGGGAGGGGCTCTTTGTTCAGATGCCTACATTCACATCAAGCATGGCACATGCTCAGATTCACTAGCAAACTCCTTCCAGCCAGGTGTGGCCCTGCCCATGCAATCGCAGGTCTCGCTTCCCAGATCTGTCCTCCTCTGTGTTTCCTGACTTCCTTACTACTTGGTTTTTTGGCCAGCTATCCTACTGGGAGGTACTATTGGAAGATCAGCGGACCAAAGGAGGGCAGAGGAGACAGTGTAGTTCGCGACCCTTCCCTGAGCATCTCCAGCAATGGCCATACTCTTGCAGCCTTGAGGCACAGTGGATGGCCCTCTCCACACCATCCCTTCTCCAGGGCTGCCCCTGCTTTTGGTCTAAGTGACTCCTCTATCCTCTACCTTTATGTTGCCATTTCCACAGTAAATGTCATCCCTCTGTGACATCTAGAGCAGGCTTTTTTCTTGACTAGCCCTTGTGTTTTTCTGTGAAGGTACATTTGGACAAGGACTTGGAATGCTCAGAAGCTCTAGGTGTGGGTCTCCTTTCCCCAGCTCTCTCCTAAGCCCATGATCAGCCTTGTGGTCCCATGCGTTGCTATTTGGTCACTCTGCATTAATACCTGGTTTTCACAGCTGCTCTCAGAATTCTAGAAAAACTCAGGCTGGACTCAGAAGTGGGTCCCTCATTCTGTTCGTCCAATGAGAGTCTATTCTGGCCCTTTTTTGGATCCCATGTGATTGGGTTTGTTGAGCTTCTATGTCCTCTGCACAGTGATCTGAGTCTCCAAAGGAGTTGTACTGTGTCCCCTAGAAAGGCTTTAATCTCTTGTGCTGATGTTAGAAACGTCAGAACTCAGCGTCTGGGCTCTCAGTGGACAATGAGGCTGAACAGAGTGAGAGACAAAGCACCCAGCAGCCCAAGGTGTTGACCTAACTCTGCTACAACTTGCCCTATGGCCTCATGCAAGTCTTACAAGCCCAGGAAGAGAGATTGTTGGACAAGAAGAAAGGAAACATTTAGGGATTTGAGCAGTACCGTGAATTGCTTTCTGGCCAGTTTTGCTCTAGAGCACAAGGTCAGGATTAGGCGTGACTCAACTTTTGTGACTCAGATTTTCTTGGGGCCACAATTCACTGCCAGCTCCCCCCATTATAGGAACTTAATGTGATCCATGATCAGAAAGCCAAATTTCTTGTTTCTCACAGTACAGATGTAGCTCCAAGTATTCCAAGGGACAAAAGGTGAGGAGAATGGAATAACTGGAACAGAACTCCCCTGGCCATGGGCTGCACCCTTTCCAGGTATTTCCTGGCTCCCTGACAAGCTCAGGATTTGCGCAATATGCAGGATCACTTGAGGTTTGTGAAGGTGGAGCCTGCCCCTCACAGCAGGAGAGCAGTGTCCTCTACTGAAAGCCACAGGGCAGCAGGGGAAGAGTTGAACCTATAACCATCTGCCATCGAATTAAGGCACCTGCCTACAGTACAGACCAGCTACTCCCAAGTGTTCCACTCCCTCCGCCAAGTGAGGATCTTCCTAACGCTTAGGAGGCCTTCGGTAAGTATCTGCAAAATGTGGATAGAAATGACTTTTTAGAAACTAACTTGAGGGGCTGGGGACTTAGCTCAGCGGCAAAGCGCTTGCCTGGCAAGTGCAAGGTCGTGAGTTCGATTCCTGGTACCAGAAGAAAAAAGACAAAAAAAAAAAAAAGAGAAAACTTTAGAAACTAACTTGAGATTATGCCAATATTACTGCTTCTAACTGAGGAACTGAGCTGGTTCTGTTAAGGACCAGCATTGGGTCCAGGAGAACAAATGATCTCCACACAATGCCGGTTCTTACACTACAGCATGGACACTGCTGTCTGGATGCCTGTGTCCTCTACAAATTCATATATAGAAACCTAATCAGCCATAGGATATTTTTCAGGGCTTGGGAGGTGACTGGGTCATGAGGATGGAGCCCCCATGAGCAAAATTAGTGCCCATATAAAAGAGGGCCCAGACATCCTTCCCCAGACACCCATATAAAGATACAGCAAGAAGCCATCAGTGTGACAGGTAATGGGCCTTCACCAGACCCAGAATTGGCTGGTTCCTTGAGTATGGACTTCCCAGCCTCCAGAACCAAGAGAAATAAATTTCTATTTTTTTGTATTCTACCACCATCTCATTATAGTGGCTCCAACAGTAAGATAATGGGCATAAGAAGAACAAGTCAGATTAGCTGGAACCATTTAAGGAAAACAGTAAAAGTGCTTGCTATCATGAATAGAGTAAATGTTAAGAAAATAGTATGACATTACTATTTTTCTAGGGTACATATTATTATAGGAGAATATTCACAGACATCATCTTATTATCCCCAGAGAACTGAGCTAGAATGTTCAATTCCTGCCCATTGCTTCCTTTCTATAGGAAGATTCTTTCCAACTGAGAACAGTCTACATTCCAAGTGCTGAGAGATGTGAGAGACAGAGGAGGCATGAAAGAGCCTCATGGACCGGGGAGAGTGGACATGATTCACTAGCTTATTAGGTGGAGATGTGTTTAAGACGGGTAGTACCACAGGAAAGGAAGGAAATGAAGGTAGGTGACGGGAGACAAAGGGCAGGCTGGCAAATGGCTCTGTGGACTGCAATGGGATCTCCTCTAATGGAGTATAAGAAAACTGAGTATGTAGTAAAGATCCTTTTAATTACTTCTGGTTTTTAGACTTCTTAGACATAGTGAGATAACACAATGAATTTTGTGTGCCTATTCCAAATAAAGTTATAATTAATACCCTTTTCTTCATAGCTTGAACATTCCTAGAGACAATTACTGTACATTCTGTGTGTAGGGATGGAGAACATCTCAGCTCAAAGGCTAGTAGTTTCTCATTTTCCTTTGTACAATAGAGAACAGACAACCCATTTGATGTAAAGACAAACACTTCCGGGGCTATAGATCAACAGCAATTGGCTCACTCTGACTAGAAAAACAAGGGAGTCGTTGTTGTAACAGGGCCCCCAAAAGTTCTCCTGCACTCAGTTTTTCACTGAGCAGCCATCAGTGGCTGGAGGACTTTGGATATGGAACTGCAAAGTCGATTTCTGAGGTAACACATCTTGGTAAACAACATCTGGACGAAGTGAAAAAGAGACAGGAATGTAGTCGGGTATCACCCATGTGGTGACAGATTGCATCTTTAATAAGCAGGCACTTAATTAGAAAAGTAATTTGTAAGAGACATTACCAGAATGTGAGTATTCAACTTTGACCAGCACATTGCATGGAAGCCTAGGCCCTGTCACATGGAAACATGTGCTTTGTGTTAGGAGCCCGATGATGCCCCCGTCTGTGAATTCTTAGCGTGAGCTCATAATAGCTGTGCTGATAGAAAGAATAATACAGACTATGTGCAAGGACTTTAGAGTTTGCCTCTGCCAGTACCCCTCCCCATGAAACAGGTTAATCAGGAAATGAAGACAAGGACAGGGAATGAGGATGGAAAAAGTGCCCTGTGAAGCAGTCACCACATTTGCAGTTAGGAGGCAAATTGCAGCCATACTCAAAGGAATTTCTAAGTGTTGCCAAAAAAGATGCCAAGATGGGTTGTCAGTGAAGGGGCAGGATGAGTTCCAGACACCAAGAAAATGGAACAAAACTTCAGACCAAGGCAACATAATAGAAGCCCTGAGTGAAGACAGGAAGCCAACTGATGACCAGGGTCTGCCATGGACATGATCAGTGATCACACTGTGGAGCTGGGAGACTTCCAGCTTTACCACTGAAATCTCAATGAGCTGCACAACCCTCTGGTCCCCCAACCATGACTTTTGGCCACTCTGCACTGGCACGTAGTAAACACTAGACCTTATTTATCTGGAAGAAGTGTGTGTCATAATTTCACACCTGAGAATACCAAGACACCTATGGATGACTAAAGTTGTAACAGATGAACACATGAAGCAAATATATTCTAACAGGGAGAAATGGAGGAGACAGCAATTGTAAAACAAGAAGACAATGTCAATAACCAAGGGCAGAGGCTGGGAATGTAGCTCAGTGGTAAAATACTTTCCTAGCATGTGTGAGTCCCCAAAAAAGAAAAAAGAAAAAGCAAGAACATTTACAAAAGAGAACCAACTAGAGTTCTTAATAGTAAAAAGGTAATTAGTGCAAAAGATATGCTTCATAGATATGTTGAACAAGTACTTGGATAAGAAGTGTGAAATACTTAAGTGTGAGACTAATCTGAGGAAAATATCCAAAATGCAACCTAAATGGATAAAGAATAGGAAAATAAGATGTTCAGAAACTCTAAATCTCATGTGAAAGAAATTCTACATGGAAGTAAGAGAGAGAATAAAGAGAAAGATGGGAGTAATATTTTGAATAATGATGAAAGAACTTTCCTCAGATAAAAGAAAAATCACTAACAAAAATCAAGGTTGAAATGTTGTTGAGTGACCAGAGGTATTGTAACAATTTATGTGTGTACAAATATATAGTGAAGTTTCAGGCTATCGTGCAAGGAGGAAAACTTGAAATATTTACAAGTTAAGAAAGTTAAATTTCAAGAAAAAAAAGGAGGGATAGTAAAATTTCCATCAGATTTTTCTATTTTCAGCACTGGATGCAATCAGTTATGAGGATGTTACTTACAAAGCAAAAAGAGAAAATTGCTTTGAACCCAGAACCCCACACTGCAACTTGTCAGAGGAGAAGCAGGGGGTAATGGAAGAGATCTTCTTGATGTGCAAAGTCTTAGAGAATTTTCACTACAAAAATTTCACTTTTAAAGAAAACCTCACCCACGTAAACTCAAAGAAGACAGGTAAAGTGAAATAGCAAAAGATGAGATACAGTAAAAGAAAGGAAGAATGGAGGACAAAGAAATCTGTGACAAATGGCCACTGTGAATATTAAGATAAAGATGAAGGATGACACACGGGACACCCTTATATCTGCAAATATCAGATTAGGAGGTGAAATGGCGTATACAAATGATGTATCCGTACCATAAATTTATTTCTATTTTAATTTTTGTCTGTAAAAATGACTTGACTTTTTTGTATATGTCTGAGGTGAGTGGAGTTTGATGTGACCCCTCTACAGCCAGACTACTCCATGGTAGCATTTCACTTTACCTTCATTTAAGTAGATTCAGAAATGAATTTCACAAGAAATCTGAGTGTGGGGTCTTCCAAATATTTTACAAATATTTTTTTCTTTTCTATCTTTCTTACCTGTGTTGAATTAGGTAGCATGTTTGTGATGTTCTTCAAATTATCCAATGTGGCTCCGATGGAAATAGCTCTCTTTGCTGTTGCACTCCTGTTAATCTGTGTAGTATTTAATTAGGCTACATCGCTAACACCTGGTATAATCAGTCTTGAGAACAAAACATACCTGACCCTTGCTATGCGTCCCTTGTACTCTGAGGGAAGAGAGGTGCACAGGGCTAACACCACACAGCAGTGGGCATTCCAATAGTGACTGTCAAAACATGCCGTTTTGCATTGAGGTACAAGCTAAAGCTTAACTGCAGGAAAAAACAGAGCTGGAAGACACAGAAATAAAGTAAATGAAGATAAAAGGCTTTATGTTCTTTCTACACAGAGAAGGCAATGCAGATTCAGGCTTTTTCAGAACAGAAACATAATTGTGCATAGTAAGGTGCAAGGATGGCCATGCAAAATTAATGTAAGACTTCTATACTAAAGGAAGAGACTGGGGCTGGGGATTTAGCTCAGCAGCACAGCGCCTGCTTGGCAAGCGTGAGGTCGTGAGTTCAATTCCCAGTACCAGAAAAATAAAACTAAAAATAAACAAAAACAAATAAAGGACGACACTATGTCTCTCTAAGATGGGGGTGGGAATTAATAAGCAGGATAATAAAAGAAAAATATGACCTTGATATGCCCAGCTACATACTGAATATCCTAACAAGAACAAGTCAAACATATCTATTTAAAAAGAGAAACCAAGATTTAATTCCTTATTTAATCCAATTATATTTACAGTGTGATGTCACAATGGCTTTTTGGTTGCCTAAGAAAGAATACATATTTTTGAGAAATGCATATTGAATTAATATAGAGGTGAAGTGATACGTCTGGGATTCACTTTAAATTATTTTAGTTAAGATAAACAAAGAAAATTATGTCAAGTAAATACTGTAAAATCTTGGTAATTGTTGAGCCTGGGGGACGGGGGGGCATCAGAATTTCATTATAGCATGACAAATGTTTGGTATGCTTAAATGTTTTCATTGAGAAAAGTCTGGAAGGATTCATCTAAAGTAGTATTCATAAGGAAATTATGATAAAGCTTTTAGAACAAAACAAGAAAGGCCAAAAATAAATGACCTGAGTGTTCAACTCCACCAGCTGTTTGGGCCGGTTTTCTAAAATTCACCATTTAGAAGTGCAGTTTAGAGGAAATTCACACAGTCACATGGCCAGTAACAAAATCATGATATTGAACATGGAAGATTCAGCAATGAAAGGATGTTAATCATCTCTTATTTAACATATAAACTAATAGTTTAATGCCGCCCAATTAAAAATCCAGTAGCATTCTTCATAGTATATGAGAAATTATTTATATTGATTTATAATTCTACATGAGTAAAATGTAAAAAATAAATCATATAAATTCAAAAATATGTTAAAGTAGGTGAATTGAAGCATTACATGGAAGTTAAAAGGAAAGAATATTGTCTGATCGTGGATAAACTGACCACAAGGATGCAGATGCAGACACTTGCTCAATAGGCAGCTTAATTTGAGAGAGGAAAGGTGAGTGTAATAAGGACATGGCCAACATTCACCAGCTTACATTTCTCTTGGCCCCACAGGGAGACTACATTTTCCTTCTTTCCTTGTGCCTAGGAATGAGTGATGGAATGCAGATAGGACGAATACATGGCATTTTCAAATCTAAAATGTTCTCTGAGATTATTCACTTCTTTACCATGAAGGCTCAGAAATGAAGGAGTCTAAGACCAAGACACTGGAAGTTCAAAATGGCATAGGCAACTCAGCAGAGCAAGATGACTTTCACTGCACGCTGATAGAGGTTACTCTGTATCTCCAAGACACACAATTATTATTGTAATACTTAGCATCAAGTACCCAATAATACTGCTGAGGAAACAATAACTATTTAATGTGTGACTTAGGGAAAAGGATAGCGTACAAAGAAATCAATGCAATATAAGTAGCACTCTCTTCAGAAAACAGAACCTAAATTCAAGACACAATAAATACCAATAAGTAATCAACACTAATTATTTCTCCTTCTGCTCAAAAGTATAAGAAAGTAAGATAAGAGAATATTTTGTGACTTTGCAATTAAGACAGCCTTCTTAAACAGAAATGTACAACGGAATAAAATGATAATCTTAAGGGGAAAAATGACAAATTCCATTATATCAAAATCCTAAAAAGAAGTCTCATAAGGAAAAGCTCAGTGAACAGAATATGAGATACAGTTCACACTAGAAGAAAACACATTCACAACACATAAAGCAGTATCATGATTCAAAATAGATATAGCATATGTGCAAATTAATGTTGAAAAGCCTAGCCATGGAAAAGAAAATAAGTGAATCTTATAAGAAGAAAGGAAATTCAAATGACCCGTACATTTATAAAAAGATACTCAACTTCTCTAATAATCAGGAAATGGAAATTAAACAAGACCAAGACATCATTTATCATATGTAGGCGAAGATTTCACGGTTTGATAATTCCAAGTGTTGAGAACTCACCACCACAAAGAGCAAACTGCAGCGTGGGGCTGCTCAGAGCAAGACCGGGCATCGCCTGAGATTCCTACATGCGCCCACTGCCCGGCCACGCCATGCGTGTAAGGAGGCCCGGAGCAGCACCTGCGCATGTGTGAGGAGAACGCCGGAAGTCTTTGGGAGTGTCACAGTTTGCAAGAATTGAGAATCCCAGAGCACTTGAAGGTCTGTCAATGTGGGAGTGGCTAAATAAAAAGTGGTATTTCACAAGATAGAGGAGCTCAGAAAGAAACAAGTAGGCAAATGAGTATCTGCCTTAATACCCAAAAGTAAAATTCTTTGGGGAAAGGAAAGGTGCAGAATACAGCTGGAATTTTTCCCTGTTTCCACATGCTTATAGTATTCACATCATGCCTATCAGTTTTCCATCTGGATTGCATATTAGTATAAGTACATAAGAAGGGAAAATGGGGCTGGGGATTTAGCTCAGCAGCACAGCGCCTGCCTGGCAAGCGCGAGGTCGTGAGTTCGATTCCCAGTACCGGAAAAAAAAAAAAAAGAAGAAGAAGGGAAAATGTAGGTAAGTAAGGGTACACAACATGTGGTGTCACAGGCCGGTAATCCCAAAACTCTGTATGAAGCCAGGGCAGCAGTATCGCCAGTTCAAGCCCAGCTTGGGAAGTTTAGCAACTTAAAATTTACAAATAATTAAAAACTGGGGGGTGTGCGGGATGGAGTTTAATACGCTGTATCAAAGGAGGGGGGAGCAGGAATATGGGGAAGAGGAAGAGGAGGAAATCAGTACTTCCCACTGTCTCATTGTAATCTGATGTTCTTCCATCATGATGGGAGGCAAAAATGGGGCTGCCCCAAACTGGCCAGTTCACAGCCCCTTTCTGGAGCTGTTTTCTTATCTCTAAAATATGGACAATCGAGTGGGACAACCTCTCCCTGGAGTCTCACAGTGCTTCTGGGACTTTAACGTGCATGAGAATCACATGGAGATTCCTGCAAATCAGGATTCTGATTCACTGCCTCTGGAATAGGGCCTGGGATTTGTAATGCCCATGATTCTGGGCACTGGCCACACCTGGCCTAGAAAACAGGAGAGTGTGGCATCCCAAGGAAGTTGAAGATGTTCTAAGAATAAATAAGCTTCTTCACTACAAGGCCTCCAATTGCTCTTACAGTGCATGGGGCAGAGTCTGAGGACGGCTCATCACCAGAACAAAGTCTTGGCCTGGGACTTAGCAACACCCATGATGAAAATCTTCTTACTTGGCCAGACCAGCAGCGTCAAAGCAGAGAGTAGCATATTAGCCATGCAATGAATAGATTTTATCATTTGATGATCAAGCTCTTAATTAAGAATAAGTAATTCATAAGGGTGATTAATATAAGGCGCTTAAGTAGGTTTGTTCAACACCCATGGCATTTAAATAGAAGATGAAAATCAACACTTCTTACTTCTCCCAAAAAGTATTTCGCCATGAAAGTGTACCTTAGATGAATAAATGTGATTTTAGCTTCATTAGGAGGGAGATACCATCCCCATCCTGGATGCTATCATTATGACAACCTGCTTGTAGGCACATCCTTGGAGAGATTTATTATTATTATTATTATTATTATTATTATTATTATTATTATCATTTTAGCAGTGCTGGGCATCAAACCCATGGCCTCCCACTTGCCAGGCAAGCACTCTACAACTCTACCATCTGAAAGGCACCCACAGCCCTGGAGAGGACATTTTGAAGGCTTGACTTACAGCCTTAATATTAATTTCCCAAACAAATATTTATGTAGAGTCTGCTACTACATTGCACACAGGTTGTACAGCAGGCCACCACCCTAGGAAACTTGCAGGTTGGCCTATGATGTCCATGGTGGAGGCAATAAAAGAAGCCACAGGAATTTGGGGTGCAGGGGAGAAACCCTGATCCAGGTGTCTGTCCAAGGAGAGGCACCTTAAGCGGAGACCTGCAGGATGTGAGCAGGCAGGTGAGAAATTACCTGGCTAGGTAGAGCCCTAGTGTTGGAAGAGGTGAGTAGCTTCTCATGGAGTTAAGAAGTCCCTAAGCAGAGACCAGTCTCCCCCTGCTGCTCTGCCCTGCCGCATGGGTCTCTGCACCAGAGTGAGGACTTCCCATCTAATTCTTAGTTTAGCAGGGAGCTATTGGACAGCTTTCTTTCTTTTAGTGATTAACAGATTTCAAGGTTATCCTGGTTCTCTGGGGGGATTGGTGGGCCAGCCAGGAAGAGATGATAGAAACAGGAAGGCTGGAGGGAGGCACAGGTACATGGACACAAGCCAGCGTCATGTGGTGGAGCTAGAGGCTGGGGCCCTAACGATGGAAATGAGGAGCTGCTGAATAATTGGGGGCAAAGATCGTGCTGAGAAAGGACAGGCAAGGGAACCCCCAGGCTGACACCATCACTGCCAGAGGTGTATGTGGGGTGGCTTTACCTATGGAGGACTAGGAAATAACATGGGATCGAGAGAAATAAGATTCATTTTGAATGAATTATTTTTGAAGTTCTCTTCTCTAATACTCAAAGGGAGGTATCAAAAAATATGATGAGAAAATCTAGGGAGAGACAGAGATTGAAAGAGAAAACCCAGAAGCCATGCCCTAGGGGTCACCGCATTTGAAGATTGAGAAGTCTTCCCCTAGGGCGGGAAGGACACTGGGAGATGTTGGTATCAGAAAGCTCAGTAAGTAGATAATGTCATACTAGGGGACAGATCAGACAATAAAAGGGTCAAAGACAGAAGAATGTGTCCCAGCCCTAGCCCAAGCTGTGTGCTGGCATGGGAATGGTGAATAAGAGCGGACATCTCTGTCTCCATGCTGAAGGTCTGGAGGGGACGAAGGTGACAAGAGGTAGAAAGTTTCCGTCCGTGCAAAGGGATGGCCACGTGTGCTGGCAGCCTACCCCGCACAGTGCTGTGTGTGTGTGCTCCATGTCTGTGTGTGTTTAATATCTCGAACACTAGCTTATAACGCCCCCATGACATCTATAAGAATTCCAGCAAAATGAACACTCCGTGAGTGTTTACTGAATAATAAACACAATATGTGAAAATTCTCACAAAAGTATTTTTAAAAAAATACCATGCACATGCAGTCATTTTATTATTCTTGGGAGAATAATAACTTCTTGGTGGGACTTTACATGATATCAGATAAGATGCTTTGATGGGAAGCAGATCAGATGGACCCTGTCCTCCCCAGCCCCAAAAAACAAAATACAACAGGGGAAGTACAGTGCTGAATTTTGCCCTGTCACCTTCTTGCTTTCTCACTTTCATTCATTCCTCCTGTGTTCTTTCTACCTACCAGGAAGGACAACAGAATAAGGAATGGGAGGAGCAGTCAGGAAAAGAGGGAGGCAGAAGTAAAGGGGCTGTGTCTGTCCTGAGCCTGGAGCCACCATCGGAGAGGATGGAGAGCATGAAGAGCAGGAACTCAACCTTAACCCTGCCTTGAACCCAGCTTCCAGTCCAGACCTGGGGGCAGCACACATCTGTCCCTGGCTGGAGGAGAGGGTGAGTCTCAGGCCGTGCCTGTCATTCCCAAGTTTACCACGTGGCAAACTGAGCTTGGAAGGGGTTTGGGGATCACAGAGGGAGCCCCATGTCCAGCAGCCCAACACCTCTGCCAGGGCCAGATGCCTTCCTCCCTGTAGCCTGAATCATGGAGCCCACTCTCTCCCACTAGAGGTGCAGGGAGTCTGCAGCTGCTGAAGCTCTGCTCCTCCTCAGGTCCTTGCCTCTCCTCTCCTGCCTGCCACTGCCTTCTCTTCTTGCTCACAATCCCTCTCTCCATGCAGCCTGCCCTGTAGGGGCTCAGCCACTTCAGCTTTGCATATGCCCTAGTGCCCTGTGGGTGGCCTCTGCATCTCAGTCTGCTCAGGCCACCCTAACAAAGCCTCCTGGGCTGGACAGACAGAAGCACAGAAATGTACCTCTCACTGTTCTGAGACTCAAACCAAGATGGCAGCCACCTCAGTTCCTACAGAGGGCACAGATTCTAGCTGTGTTCCTTCTGCATAGTTGGGTGACAGAGACGGAACCTGGCTCTGACAGGGATAAGGACCCTAATCCTATCATGGGGATTCCACACTCATGATGTCCCAAGGGCCATGCCTGCCTGACACTCCTCTATATTGGGGGTCTGTGTTAGTTATTTTTCTCTTGTTGCTGGGGCAAAATATCTGACACACAACGTTAAAGAGGGAATGATTTATTTAGTTCACAGTTTGTGCAGGGTTTAGTCTATAAGCAGCTGGCTACAAGGCAGGGTGGCATAGCAGAGGGAAACAGTTTAAGGCAGCAGAAGGCTGCAAAAGCAACAAGAGCAAAAGGGGGAGAATGAACCTGTTTTCCTCTATTATAGTGTGTGTGGGCTCAGTGGGGATAGCAATCACATCATCTCCATGCCCTCTTCTTGCACGGGCTCAGAATGTTTACAAAGTGAGGACCCTGGCCCCCAGCTGAGTCACTCAGTGAAACTTCTAAACTTCTCCAGTTGACCCAAACATGTTGCACAACATCCTAGAGCTGTAAGGGCATGTTCTCTACACCCTAAGATATAGAACAGCTGAGTTACTTAGTTAAGCTTTTAGACTTCTCAAGTTGACACAATATATCAACCATTACAGGGTCACAGCTTCCAACCCAAAGTTCTGAGGGAACATGAAGCCCAGGCCAAGGAGCCTGTCCATCTGTCCCCTGGACTGAGTATCTCAGCCTCTGGGCAGTGACCCCAGCTAGAGGATGGGACTCTGCTTTGTGAAGTCCTTTACTACTTAGTCAGTGAATCATTGTAGTAACTGCTGAGTTTGTGGGTGGTGCATTGACCTAAAGTAGATCCTTTTACTCCTTACAATATAGAAAAATCACTATGACATGGTGTAGCAACATCATTAAAACACAACTTTTTCTCCCAAATACAGGTTGAGAATCCCTTTCTGAAATGGTGAGGATCAGAAGTGTTTGCCTGAGTTTGAAATATTTGCTCTACATGGGACGATATCTTGGGGTGAACAAAAAATCCACCCATCATTCATACTTCCTGTACACCTCATCCTCATGGCCTGAGGGTAATGTTAGTTCCTTAGGTCCAGCTCTGTTTTCACTCTGATGGCCGCATCAGGTCTGGTATGAGTTTTGCACTTGTGTTGTCATGTTCGTGTTAGAAACATTCCAGGTGTTAGAGCATTTCAGATTTTAAAATCAAGGATGCTCAACCTGTCTGACAGGTTTAAAGTCTCTGTTTCACTGCTAACTAGCTAAAAACTTTAGTTATGGAACCGTGTGAGCCTTCCTTGTGAAATGGATTGTTATGGGAAAAGTGGCCATGGGCGAGTCTTGCACCTTGAGCTGCAGGGTAGGGGTGGTTAGAAGTCATCTCAGCGGTGGTGGTGAAGTGCTCTTAGGAGGAGTGGTGGTAATAACTGTACTATAGTCACAGCAGTTGTGGTACTAATAGTAGCAGTATCAAAGGTAGCAGTGACAGTAGCAGAAGCTATAATAGGAGCAGGAACTAAGTCAGTGATTCAGGAACCTTAGATTCTATTTTCAATACGTTTTACTATCTCAAACTCTACTTCTAGCCTCAATTTTAACAACTATAGACAAGAAGACTGACTGATAATTGCAAAAAAATAAAAAAACATAAAGTAAAATCTAAACTGAGGACTCAGAACTCCTCAAATGAATGGGTAGTATAGCCTACATCCCATCCAGTTGGCTAGCTACATCCCAGGAGAGGCACTGCTTTAGCCTCCAATTCTGACCTGAGATACCTCAGGACTGGTGTCCACACGCTGTGTCACACCGCACCCTCCACCTCACCAACTTGCCTCATGCCAAAAAATCTCATTAATCCCTGGTCAAGTGCAAGCATGCAGAGCCCCAAGGAAAGAGGGTGAAAGGGAAATGAAAAACAGGAGGATCCTCAGATCAACAGAAACACTAGGATTTCCAGGCTGCCTCGCTTCCGACCCGAAGAATAGCTGGGAAGGGCCTGCCAGAGCGGTTCTTCCCAGTGTGACCTCTGTGGCAGTTGCTGTCTGAGTCCCCACTCTCACTGCCTGCCACTTTGGGTTTGGAAAGAGCCTCTGGCACTGTGATCTGATGTCATTAAGAGAGCTCTGCTTTCTAATGCACAATGCATTCAAAATTGCTTGTGACAGTGGTGCCCCCAGCCCCGTAATTATTTAATTCTTCTGGAATGCAGAGGGCTGGCAGGAGGCACTGAACTGGGAGCCCACAGCAAGTTCACCTTCCTCTCTTGTGCTCAGGAAACTTCCTACGTGAACCTACAAGAAGGCCCAAAGGTGTGTCGGGAAAGATTTGTTCCTTTTGCTCAGGCCCAGCTGAGGTGCTAAGTGCTAAAATTACTTGTGTCGACTTGGGAGACAATCACAGGGCTGCTACCAAACTAAATGACTTCGTGATATTTCTTTCTTTCTGTCCACTCCCCTCTTTTTGTAAGACACTAAAATTGAAAAGACAAATCCATTAAACAATTCATACTTCGATTTGCAAAAGGCAACAAATCTTTTGCAGAGCAAGGGAAGCAAGTCTTTGCTTGCACCTGAGTTCGGGAACATTGAGTCTTTCCATTCAGGTCCTTCAAGGTACATCAAGTTGAAGGGTGATCTAATCGGCTTTCAAGGCAAAAGGAGGGTTCATTGTCCGCACGATTCTATTCAGTAGTTTTTCCACTGCAAAACGCACGTACACTGATCAGTTAGCCTTGAGTCCTACATCTGCAAAGTGAAGAATTAAAACTCCTATTCACAGGAAGAACACAGGGAACTTGGAGCTGCTCAGGGTAGGGCTTGACCCTGGATAAATGCTCAAAAGCTATCTGTTAAAGAAAAGAGAGTTTTTCTAAGTGAACAAAATAATGAATGGTAGAAGCAACAGTGGAATAGGGAGTAATGATAAATCCCACTTAGCAAGCTCACTTCACAGCAGTAACTGACCTGGGGTCCTGTAGTCACCTGTCAGTAGGGCCCTGTGCTTGGAGTCCCTACGCCACTGTTGTTGGGTCTGAAATGTCCCCTTAAGGCTCATGTGCCAAGACCTGGACCCCAGCTGATGGCCTTCCTGGGAAGAGACAGAAACTTTAGAAAGTAGAACCTAGCTGGAAGAGGTAGGTGCCTGGACATGTGCACTTGAGGGGATATTTTGTCCCTGGCTCCTTTCTCTTTCTTTTCTGGCTGCCATGAGATGAACAGGTTTGAGCCAGTACGTGCCCCCACCTAAAAGATGCTCTGCCTGACCTCAGGCCCAGAAACAACACAGAGAAGCAACCATGGACTGGCTCCTCTGAAGCTATGAGTTCAATCAAAGCTTTCTTTTTTGAAGTTAATTTCTCTCAGGTATTTTGTGGCAGCAGTGAATAAATTTATTCCTAAGGTAGAGGCAGTTAGAAATCTTCTTCTCTCTTTTCCATTTCTAGTCAATCCAGTAAGAAGAAAAGAAAAGAGTAGCACTCTTCACCATTCTTCATTTTCTTACCTTAATTGAGAAATAGCGATTACAAAAATGAGATCAACAAGGACCCTGGGACTAACCTAGGGCTGTGTGGAGTACATTTGTGACAGCACTAGGTGGCCTTGTGGACAGTCTAGGGGTGGAGCTTAGGTAGCCATATGATAGCAAATCTCTGGCTGACTCTGATTCATACTGAAGTTTAAGGATCACTGATTTTGACCCTGGCAGTCAGGTAACTGGATGCATGCAAAGGTACCCAGTGCCCCGAATGGATGGGTGGGACTGCAACAGAGGTGGTTGGTTGACTACTCTCTCCCTTTGCCCTTTCTTGTAATCCAGTGAGAGACTTATAAAGGTAGGCGTTGCCTTTCATAGTCTCAAAGCCAGAAGTGGCCTTGAAAATGAGTTCTCATCAATGAAATGTATAAGGAAACCCACCGGGTCATGTGAGAAAAATATTGCTTTTCTGAGTCCAAAAAGGCACAGGAAGGAAAACTGTATCTGTCTCAATTTCTGTTTGTGACTTTGGGTATAGTATGTGAGTATCTGATGCATGCTGTTCTCCACCCCTTTAGCCACCGAGGGGACAAAGTCCAGAGAACCACAAAGGTGCCAGCCTAAAACAAAGCATCACTAAAATGCTGAGCTATGACAGTATTTCCTGGATAGAAAAGGGCAGTGATTAGGCTCCTACATGTGCATCGCCTACTGACACTGCTACCATTTCACCAAGTTTTGCCCCTACAACAACGGTAATTCTTATTTAACAAAGCAAAGGATACATTTCTGCAAAACATGAAAGTTATAGAAAGTCAGACTGCAATGCTGGGTTCTAAAGAACAATGATTGTTCAGCAACAGAGAGGTGGGGGAGAGCGACGAACGGCAAGAGTAGCTGGATTCAGGTGTCTATGTGTCTCCCGGGGCTGTGGTATCAAATTCCCACAGAGTAGCTCAAGAAGCAGAGAAATGTATGTTCTCACAGCTCTGGAAGCCAGAATTCTCAAAATCACAGGTCTGTCAGCAAGGTGGGTTCCT